ACCATTTTTAGTATGTTTTTAATAACAAAATTGTTGCAATGGCGCTTTTAAGATTTCTGACAGCCTTCCTCTGGTTCAGCTAAAATACAGTCTAAATACCTTTTGCTCACAACCAGAAACTAATGACGTGTTGAATAGGCTTGTCACTTCCATTTCACAACATAAAATGTAGGGGTAGCCAAGTGTTTTTTTAAAGTTATTGATCTTTTTTGAAAACTTTTACATTGCCCATTACATATTTTCCTGTCACCTCCCCAGTAAGTAAAACATTTGCATATCTCGAACTTGTTTTGCACGCGCACTAGGCCATCTGCAGGTACATGTTTGCAGTTGGATTTCAGTGCAATTTTCGACAGATAACAGCTAGTTTTTCAGCTGGAAGACGTTAACAGTTAGTGGTTAGCGATATGCTGCTATTCTGGTGTTGCTGGTTTAAGTACAGGTTCATTAAACTTGATTTGGTCAGTGGGAAAATTTTGCTTTCATTTCAGTCGTGTACTTGGTAGTGTAGTTAATTGCGTCAGTGACAACCCCAGTGTGCGTGTGGCGCTTAAACCTGCCTTGCGTGATGTGCAGAACGTGTGCACACTAACAAAAGTAGGCACCGTCCTTAAAACTGAAAATTAGTTTTTCCCTCGCTTTTGTTTCACTTATTGAAAAATCTGGTTGGAACACACCACCCTAAAGATGGTATGGTATTTTGGGGAAGAGGGGATATGTATTAGCCTGGGATGTTTTTCTCAAAAGTGCCCCGGCATTTATTCACTGATTCAGAAGGACTCCAAGAAAACCTTACAGAGGGAGAGGGGTAGGGGAGTGGGGTGGTGTGGGAAAAAATGCTTTGGAAGGGTTTAGTTTTTGAGTTGGTTGAGAAGTCACATTTCACTGGTTGTCAATTGAGCCCTTATTCTTGTGTTATGTCACACCATTCCTCTTTCTAGAAATTAGGTGTGTGTTTTGTCCTTTCACCATTCACTGAAAAAGTGGCACCTCTAGAAAATGCTTACCTTGTCATTGAGTTTTAATTTATGACATTTTTCAAAGATTTATGGCTACTTTACAGATTCTTTTTTAGTCAACATGTATTAAACTTTCCCAGAACTCAGAAAACTAGTTTTGCCAGGGGTGAAACAATATAATTTGCCTTTTGCAGATGCCATAAAATGGATCAAGTTGATAGAAAAGCAAGCACAAAAGAGTTTGAGGAAGAAGGAATAGTTAACCAAGAGTGTGTCACTGTAGAATCGACAGATGGTATGGAATATTTCGCTAAGTTTCCCAATCACTGCAGTGTGTTTCCAAGCTCTTGTCACAGCTTAACAGAGAGAAGTAGAGAGAAGTACTTGGCTGAAGGTCTAGTTTTTGGCCCACAGACAATCAATTTAAGTGATAAATTGAATTCACTGAATCCTTGGCTACAAAAATTGATGAAGTTCATTATTTTGAGACTAAATGGCAATAATATCCATGGATCAACATTTGAATTAAAAAGAAAAACATTAGCTGTTTTTGAACAATTTATTAGTGATTTCTACCAACTTCTGTGCTTGAAAATGATTATCTCTAGTTGTTTATACAGTGCAACTACACACACACATAATCTATGTTTGTTGTAGGTTTAGCCAACAGGGACAAGGCAACAGTGTCCAGTCCACCAAAAATCATATTCTGTGTAAGAGAACCTGCACCAAACCACAGTGCACTTCTTAAAGGAATTCCAAATGAGCCTATATCTCAACCATTGGACAATCAAGTTCTGTTTGGGCGTGGTCATGGAGTGGGGGTGTTTTTGAATGATGAGGAAGCTTCGCGAGAACACATGAAACTCTTCTTGCAAACAAACCCTGCTACTTATGAAAATGTGTTTGTTGTTAAGACTGTGAGCAGTACCAAGCCAGTTTATATCAATGGAAGTCCCTTATACAAGCAGGCTGGGGAGACAGTCCTGAACACCAATGATAGACTTAAAATAGGACAGCTGGAGTTCATTGTCACTGTCGAACCAGGTAATTCAGTGGATTATTTCCAACTTGAATTCACCAGGAGTGGGGTTAATCTTCAACAGCCTAACATGCAAGAAGCAGTAAATACTCCACAGTTAAGGGGAGGTGTTAACCCAGGGCAAGTATTCATGGCAAACCAGGTTGGTGCTGTTATTCTGCCCAACAATGGAGTGCCTGCAAATCCAGCTGTTAACATGAACATTTCAGCCAATGGAGGGGTTTCATATTATGGAATGCCCATGGCACCCACCTACCAGCCCATGCCTGTTGGAATGGGTCACCCCACCTACCACCCCATGTCTGCTGGAATGGGTTACTCCACCTACCAGCCCATGCCTGCTGGAATCGGTCATCCCACTTGCCAGCCCACACCTGCTGGAATGGGTTACCCCACCTACCAGCCCATGCCTGCTGGAATGGGTCACCCCACCTACCAGCCCACACCTGCTGCAATGGGTCAATCCTTTTTTCGACCACAGCCAACACATCCAAGATTTCATAGCAGTCCTTGTTCTGAGCCTCAGCAAGAGTCGTTGCCATCAGGAATCTATGGTCCTGCGTTACACGAGAATGGACATGCATCAGCACAAGATAGAAGGGAAATGTTTCTTGCCAAGCAGCCATCTGAGCAAAGTGAAGTTCCTACCGAAACTGGACTAGAAGAGGACTCTCACATTTCAATACAGGAGACTGGCAAGCCAAAAACTCTTTAAAAATGTAATAAAATATTATAATGACATGCCATTTCTCTTGCCATGTACCTGTTAACAAAGTGAACATTTTGAGGTGTAGTAGTCCAGGTGAAGTAGGCCTTTAACCAGAAGAAAACAGGTACACTCTACAATATGATGCACGAGGAAACATGCCAGCAAAAGCAGTCAATGCTGATCACATACTTAAGGATGGTGCCTCCTCGCCTCCTCATTAAATACAGGCATTTTTCCACATAGTTTATGCCTGGCCCAAAAAGCCTGGAGATGCTAAAAACAGCAAAACATAGGATAAGAGTGCTTCAAGCCCACATGGTGGGCACTAGAAAGGGGAAGGAAAGGGAGAATTGGGCATGGAGGGCTGCATGCTCTTTCCCCTTGCTTTGTGCACTCACGCTTGATTTCCCCCTTTCCCTTCCCTTCTCTAGTGCCTGCCATGCAGGCTAGAATGCTTGGTGCTACACTTGTGACTTGACTAACTGTCAGCCCCGGCATCTCAAGGTTGATAATGTTGGCATAATTTTAACCATTGATTTTGAAGTATAAATTAAACAAATTCATATTTTGGTCCTGCAATGAGGAATTCAAAAGATGCTACATAGTTTCTGCAGTTCATACAGTTTCAATAACTGTTTATCCTGTGCATCCAAGATTTACTGTAAAATGCTCAAATCTCTTTATATCTTCCTGTGTTACTGTGCTCGTGTTACGTGACAAAACATTAAGGAAATCCTCAAGTGTCACTGGGCGGGGTTGAATCTGCAGAACAAAAAGAAAGTAGAACATTGTCAACAAGAATCAGCGAAACAGCATAGGATATATACCATAATCACTAAGCAAGTCAATGGTTTTACCATTTACTAGATCAAGAAATTGACACATGTACAGTGGCTATTAGTATGCCACAAGTTTGAAAGAAGTGGCATCTGAGTTTGTTTAATATTTGTTGAGGACAGCTTCAGTGCTCACAAAGTTGTAGCTAAATTGCTTTATCTACAAACATTAAAAGTGATAAAAGCTTAAGATAAAAGTGAATGACATTTCAACCAACCATCAGCCATTTTCAAGTTCAAGTCCTTGGTTTAATATATAGGCCCTTTGCAGGATCCGGTCACATGGTACGGAATTAATTATGCAGGGACGCAAGTTACACAGTGGGACTTTCAAAACAAAGGAAAGTCAGGCTGGACTGGTACGAGTTCCTTTGTTTTGGAAGTCCTACTGTGTAACTTGCATCCCAACATAATTCACTTTTATCATTAGCTTTTATAACAAAGTACATTTAAAAAAATGACTTATTCCATAAATCAAATGTTAAAAGGTAGCTTGCTTATGTTTCAACTGGTCATAAGCATTCAGTCCAGTTGAATGCAAGTAGTAATGTATGGATTAGTTAAGTTAAGGTACATGCAGCCAAAAGCAAACCAAATTTATCATAAACATACCAAGTTTTTGAGAAGGACTTTTCAGTCTAGGGCCTGGCTAGAGTTAATGAGAGCCAGCACAGCTGCAGCACTGAAACTTCCATTAATTATAATCTAATTAAATTTTAGCTATTTCAAATTATTATTATTATTGTGAAATCTAACAATTGGGAAGATCAGATACATTTACCTTTTCAGAATGGAGATCTTTCAAAGATGAGTGAATGCAATTCTTTTCAGTTTCTGGGCATGGGACATAGAACAGGTCTGTCAAAGTGTGATTGGAAAAGAAAAGATAACAATGAAAGATTGGCAGTAAATAACCTCTCTGTCTAGTGTGTATTTAACAGGTAAACAAATGAACAGTTAAACATACTTATGGTGTGGCTTCACAGCAGGTTAAATTACACTTGAAGTCAAATTAAAAATTTCATTCATCAAGTGTTGTAATCGGTTGACAGTAACAATCGTAAAACAAGATGCCTAAAGGCGATTCTGTGGGATGCGTTGGCTAGTGAGCGTAGCATTGGAATGACTTGTGCTGCAGTTACAGTAAACTGCCATGATTAGTCAGTTAGATCAGCCACATAGAAATCACCGTAGGAAGTACTGAAGAAACCACAACTGTGTTTGTACACAACATACTTGTCTCCTGTACAATTGTATTGTCGCTGCAGGTACAAATCAATTGGTTAGTCTGCTGGATAAGAAAACACGCACAAAACTGTATTTAAGGTAAATATGTCACTAAAGACAACATGATCAGACATAGTAGCAAATGAGTTGCAATGTTGTCTTAAATAGTTATGCACCTATCAATGTTGTGCCGCTGGGGGGGAGGCTGGGCATAGGGGGGGGGGTTGACGTAACGAGTCTGCCTATGGTTGGGACTTTTGATCATTTGCCGAGTCCCGGGGGTCGGAACTTTTGACTTCAACCGTGGGCCCTATCGACACCATCTTGGATATCCACAATATCTGCCATCTTGGATGACCGAGAATGACTGAAAACAAACTGTACAGAATTGGAAGAAAACAATGTTCCAGATCACTGGCTGTACGTGAGATGCTCAGAAGTTTGGTGTTGAACTGAACATTGTTGCAGACATTAATTCTGTAAGCAAGGCCTTTGTTACAGATCTTAGTTTTTCCTTAGTTTAAGGTCAACTCCATTGCTAAACAACATTGATTTGTATTTTGAAAGTTGTGCATGGAAACAAATTTCCGAATCCTACATAACGAAAGACTGTTTTTAATTTAAGCTCAAATGAATTGAAATTATGAAACATTTTACAGGATAGTGTTCTGTATTCACCTTCATACATTCATTGAATTTGCAATGCATGTTGTTTCTAAGCATGGTTATAATTTTAGTACTAAAACGAAATTGAATTATTGAACTTCATCTTTGCGAGCCTACCATGTGCAGTGTATTATTATGAATTAGTGAACACATCTAAGATCTTGAGTCCTCTTATGGGGCTTTTTTCATATTTCTCTACTACAGGTAGAGGTTAACATTTTATTTCCATCATTTCTGTTTAAAATGTAAGTGATTAAAATGTCACAATGGTGTAGGACATTAGTCATGATAAGAATTTCCATGTCTACAGTCTTGTTTAGTCATATAAGTTTAGGCAGTTGTCATAATTTTAATATAAATTAGGTGACATTTCTATATTACACAGATGCATTTTGAAGTTGTTGCTTTGTAGCCTTTTATTTACAACTTTTTGATGTTTAATTCTTTTTTTGACAG